TTATATAAGTATCAGATTAACAATATATTCATTGAGACTTTACCTAAAATTAAGCACTTTGAAATATTCAACAACTCAACTCGACTTAACTCAACTTGTACCATTGGACTCTACGCCGTCGAAAGTCAAAATCCACAAGTCCACAACCCCCCGATAGCCTATACTAGGGCTGTGCAAAACTATCCGAAAAACCGAAAACCCGAAAAACCGAACCGTAACCGAACCGAAAAATTGGGTACCCGAACCGTTTAAAGAAAACGGGTCGGGTAACCGAACCGATAAGAATTTAACGGTTCGGGTAACGGGTACCCGTTAACACTGTTTCGGGTACCCGAATGTCCCGAAAATATTTTTTTTCGAAATCTCAAATGAAAAATGTCAGTATTTTTTAGAAAAAAAGAAACAGAAAATAAAGAACAAAAAAGTGAAAACCCTAAACTTCGTTCTTTTCTCATTTCTCAGTCATTCACTTCACTCAGCCTCCATCCCCCTCTCTCTCCTCCTCTTCTCTAATGTCTCTGCCTCTGGTTCTCTAATCTCCATTCTCCATTCTCCATTCACTCCTTCATCTCCTCCATTGAAGCGGCTCTGAGCTTTCACTCCTTCATCTCCTCCATTGAAGCGGCTCTGAGCTTTCACTCCTTCATCTCCTCCATTGAAGAGGCTCTGAGCTTTCACTCCTTCATCTCCTAATGTCCTCAGGTAATTAACTAATTATCCCTTTGCCAGATCTAATTATTTGCAATGAATTGATTAAATTCAATTAAACTTAAACTCTTGTTTTAATTTCACAAATCGCAGATTCAATTTAGGGCTCTGCGTACTTCGACTTCTCCATTGAAGCGGCTTCTGAGCTATACGACTATACTCCTTCATCTCCTCCATTGAAGCGTACTTCGACTTCTCCATTGAAGCGGCTCTGAGCTTTCACTCCTTCATCTCCTACATTGAAGCGGCTCTGAGCTTTCACTCCTTCATCTCCTCCATTGAAGCGTACTTCGGCTCTCCATTGAAGCGGCTTTTGAGCTTTCACTGTTGAGGTAATTTACATTTTATAGTATCTGATTATCTGTGGTTTTTTCGGATTTGTAATTGTTTTTTTTCCTGATTTTTTATTGTGGTACTATTAATTTTTTTTTTGTTTTTTTTGGGAGGAATGATACTTATTATGGTTTTCAGAATTGAGGTTTTTTTTTATTATTTTTTGTCAAGTTGTGTCTGTTAGATTTAGATGAGTGAGTAAGGTGAGATTTCTGTTTTTGATGTGGAAATAAGGTTGTTGAGAAAAAAAAAAGGATTCAGAGTGATGTTGTTGTGTGATGTTGCTAAGCATCTATAGTTGTTGTGTACTAATGTTGTCGAGCATCTATAGTGTTGTGTGATGGCTTCCTGTGTGTTGAGCATCTATAGAGTTGTACATGATAATCATGTAGTCCAATATGATTTATTGTAACATGAGTTAATTACAAGCATTTTAAGAAAACGTTTTAAGATTTATTGTAGTCCAATATGATAATCATGTAGTCCAATATGATTTATCTAGTTGCTTCTACTCAGGTTAATCTGTCAATGTATGGTTTAACAGAATTGAGTAATATTCGTCAGCTGGAATTTGGTTTAACAGTAACTTGTGTGGTTGTGTACATCATCTTTTGGACTCATTTTCAGTAATACTTGCCTAAGGTACTGCAAGGCTCACAGAGTGATTATATGGTGTAGTTGTACCAATAGTTTTTTTTATTTCACTTGCTTGTCTGAGATTTTATGATTGTGTATTTGTGTGACGTGGAAAAGTTTTTGTCCTGTTTGTTTCTAATAGACATATGTCCTAGATGTTCACCCTTTCAACCCTCATATAGCTATGACTCATTCTTGTTATTTGTGTATACATGATTGAACTTATTTGTTTTTTTTCATTTGTAGGAGTGTATGGAATCTGGAAGTAGTGGGGATATGGAAGACTCATCGGCTACAAGTCAAGCTCCTCCAATTCCAAGTCCTCCTCCCGAGCCTTGGGAGTATGACCCTTGTCCAATGACGGAAAATAATGACCCCTTTGACCAGCAAAATCAATCAAACCAACCTTCTGAACCTGCTGATGCTACTGCCCCCTTAAGTGAAACTTCAAAAAAATCTAGAAAAAGGCGCTCTCCTCATTGGGAGCATTTTATAAAGAAGGATGGAGAAAACAAGGCTGAATGTATCTATTGTCATACATTCATTGGTTGTGCATCACTTCAAGGTACCTCCGGCATGAAGAACCACATAAAGCGGTGTAAGGAATACCCCCCAAACATTGATCAAAATCAGCAACTATTGTCCCTTAGTCAACAAACTCTTGATGGGAATCTCGTGGATAAAAAAAAAGGTAGACTTGAGCTGTGGAAATTCAATCAAGAAGATAGTAGGAGAGCTCTGGCAAAGATGGTGATCATGGATGAAATGTCTTTTAGAATGGTGGAGCATGAAGGTTTTCGCAACTTTATGAAGGTAACGCAACCCTTTTTCATTATTCCTTCTCGATGGACAGTGACTAGAGATTGTTTTAGGATTTATTTGGATGAGAAAAAAAGTTTGAAAAGTTTTTTTAGTAAGTGCACTTCACGTATAAGTCTCACCACTGATACTTGGACTTCTTGCCAAAATATGAATTACATGTGTTTAACCGCTCACTTTATTGGCCAAAATTGGAAATTGCATAAAAAAATAATTAACTTTTGTATAATTGCTGGTCATTCTGGTGAAACAATTGGTAAATCTGTCCAAAAGTGTCTACTTGAATGGGGTATTTCTAGAGTAATGACTGTCACTGTAGATAATGCAAGTTCAAATGATGTTGGCATTCAATATTTGAAAAGAAGGTTTGAAAGTTGGAAGACATTAGTTTGGGGTGGTCGGTTTTTACACATGAGATGTTGTGCTCACATATTAAGTTTAACCGTTAAAGAAGGATTGAAAGAAAGTGATGTGTCAATAAAAAGAATTCGTTGTGCTGTTAGGTATGTAAGATCATCGGGTGCTAGATTGCAAAAGTTCATGAGTTGTGTTAAACAAGAAAAGTTGGAGTCAAAACGTTTTCTTTGTTTAGATGTGGATACTAGGTGGAATTCCACTTTTTTAATGCTGGAAGGTGCTTTGGCATATCGTAGGGCTTTTGATTTGCTTGAATGTTCAGATGGTGGTAAATTTAGGTATGAGTTACTTAAGACAGGCGGGGTGCCTGAACCTAGTGATTGGGATCGTGTTGCCTCTTTTCTTACTTTACTTAAAATATTCTATGATGCTACTCTACGAGTTTCCGGCTCGTTGTATATCACCTCTAATGTGTATTTACAAGAACTTGTTGGGATTAGTGTGTTAATCAAGAAAAAAATGTTGAGTAATGATGCGGGGGTGAGTTTAATGGCTAGTGGAATGAAGAAAAAGCATGACAAGTATTGGGAAAATGTTGATAATGTGAATCTCTTGTTGTATATTGCTGTCATTCTTGATCCTAGGCGGAAAATGGGATATACTAAATGGGCAATTAATCAACAATATGATTCTGAAAAAGCTAAGTACTTGTGTGATAAAGTGATGCAAACTCTGAATGACATGTATGAACTTTATATTTCTGAAAACCCTCCAAATGAGTCTATTCTCTCTAAAACTTCTGATTTTTCGGAGGAAGTAGAATATATGGATTCTGATGTAGATGTTGCGGAATTAGAGTTTGAAAGGCAGGTGGGTTCATGTGTTGGAGTACAAGGGAAAAATGAGTTGGCCAAGTATTTAGAAGATGATAGAAAAGTTAATCCCGTCGGAAAAAGCTTTGATTGTTTGGGGTGGTGGAAAAAATATGGTGAAAGGTATCCAACAATAGCTCTCATGGCTAGAGATGTACTTGCCATTACCGTATCAACAGTCGCTTCCGAATCAGCTTTTAGCACCGGTGGTCGAGTGCTTGATTCATTTCGCAGCTCACTCTCAACTAAGATGGTTGAAGCCTTGATTTGTGCACAAGATTGGTTACGTACATCTCAAGGTCCTCTTATACTTGAGGAGAGACTTGAAGATATGGAAAAAATTGAATCAGGTAACATTTAAATATTTTCTCTTTTTTTTTTAATCTCATTATCTTGTTAATTATTCATTAACTTTTTTTTAATTTTTTTTTTTTTGAAGAAATGTTACCTCTTGGTGAGGAACACTCTCTCTTTGTTGATGATGATTAATTGATTAGAGGCAGCAACTTATAATCATGAAGGTTGGTGGTGATTGTATTGAAGGCCGGAAGTCATTGAAGGCTTGGAGTATTTTATGAAATATGATTACTATGGACTATTTTTGTTTTAAAACTATAAACTATGGACTTTTTTTTTTTGTTATGTATTGGTTTATTATTGTTAACTATGGACTTTTTTTTTTAAAAAAGAAACAGTATGTTTGTATCAAGTATTTGTTCATTTGTAATCGGGTTGAGTGCTGTGTTATATGTGTATTCAGGTTTAAATATCAGCCTATTAGGCTGTTATTTGTTACAAAAAAATCATAGTACTAATAACAATAATTAATACTAGAAAAACAGGTGGAAGTTTGGACAAAAATATTATTAAGCAGGTGGGTACAAGGAGGAGTTCAGGCAGCCAAGTAGGAGAGGTGAGGAGGCAGCAGCCTCAAGGACAGGGACTGGTAGGTTGCCAAAGCGGAAGACAGCGATAGTTGTAATTATTTTTGTTATATGTGTATTTAAGTTCAATTGTTATAGTTCAAAAAATAGGAAGTAAAAAAAAAAAACTAGTAAAAACTAAAAAGCATCTAAAAACGAATTGCAAAGCAGGTTTTAAATAAATAAAAAGACCCAAAAAAAAAATCAGCTTATTGGTTCAGTTCGGATATTTGGTTCGGGTACCCGTATTTTCGGGTATCCGAATTTACGGGTACCCGAACCTTATCGGAACGGTTTCGGGAACCGGTTTTAGCCTTAACGGTTATCGGGTACCCGAACCAATAACGTTATCGGAACGGGTACCCGTCCCATGCTCTCCCCTAGCCTATACCTCCCTATTAAGTTAACATTGTCATTAACCTAATTAAGAAATCGGTGCTTAAATTAGGAAAAAAGAAATTAAAAAGAAAAATTTAAAGCCATTGGTATGGGCCAATTGAATTGATCGACTCAGCATATTCTGGAACTTTCTCTGTATCACTTTTAACTTCTTCTTTTGGCAATTTCTGCATGTAATAGTGTTTTGATAATTTGATAACGAGTAAACTGCGAAATACTGTAGTTTCTGGGTGCACAATTCAACGTGATTTTTGATTTTTGGGTCGCAATTTTAGTTGCAAGAATTCAACTCCATGTCTCAGAATTCTGTAAGTTAGGTTTTTATTTCATCGGTAAATTTATTTCTTAATTTGTCGATTTTTATTTTATTCTGGGTGCAAAATTATTGAATTTTTTTGTTATTGTTGCTGTATATTTCAGATGAATATTTGTCAAACTTGTGGCAGCAAAGGTTATGTGGATCTTCTAATTCACTGTGTTCAATGTCAGATCAATGCAGTTCATCGGTAAGTTGTATAATTTTTTCAAAAAATTATTTTTGTGATTATATGATTTGGGTGTATTTATGAGGAATTAGATTTTAGACTGTGTTTTTCGGCTTAGTTGAGTAGAATTCAGAAGAAAACTGTTGATATTATGTATTATCAAGTATATTTTTTTCAATTTCCACAATTTCTCAAAATTTCTATTTTTAGAAGTTCATGGCTTCATGCAAAACTTTCATATGTTATGTGGCCAGCCACATTTTTTTTTTTCTTAAAAGAATGGTCGGGGTTACTCGGTCAGTCATGGCCTCATGGGTTAACTCGGTTGGTTAGGGGTACTCGGTCAGCCAGGGTTACTCGGTTAGGGGTTAGGTTAGGTCGATCCTTGTCGGGGTTACTCGTGTGTTAGCTGGCCGTGTGTCCAGCCACACACAAAAGTTGCTGTAATTTCAAACTTTAATCTCTACTTAATTTGGTAGGAATATTTACTATAAATACACTTATTTAGTTTTGCAACCTCCAGTGACATTGGCTTGTGGATCTTTAAGGAAATACTGGAGATACACTATGAATTCTTGGTGAATTCGGTTCCCTTAGTAAATTTGAAGGGCAAATCACACTTGCTATTTTAATTGATATAAGCCAAGTAATTTTGCAAAATTTAGTGACATTGGCTTCTTGATCTATAAGGAAATATTGGAGGTACAATATTAATTCTAGGTTGGTGCTTGGCATTTTCGGTTCCCTTAGTCAATGAAGGGCAAATTACATTTGCTTTGTATTAGCTAAGTCATGATGATGTTAATCAATGTCATGGGTCATTTGGAAGCTTAAGCATCGATACTCAAGTGGGTAGAATAGGATCTAATATGTTGGAGTTTATTAGCCATTTCATAACTTATTGGCATCTTGGAGTTTGTTTTGTTCTCCTTATTCACAATTATTTTAGGATAACTAAGTTCAAATTAAATAAGGGTTGATAAGGGGAGCTATGTTCAAATTATCACTAAATTAAATTCTAGTAAAGTTTAATAAGTTTTGATGAGTTCATATTAGTAAAAATTAGGTGAATAGAACAATCCTTGGCCATTATATATGTTGGGAAATTGGCATTCTAATTAACCTAATTTTGGAATTTGATTCCTGTGTAAACCAAAGAAGCACTTTTAGCACATTTAATTAATGGTCATAAATAGTGGGAAAGGAATGGATATGTATGTAATTTGTTGGGAAATTTTAGGTTCATTGCCATTTCAATGGAATTCTACCTTCAAATATGTTTTTTTGTTCAAAAATTTCATTACCACACGCATTACCACACAATACCACAAAATGGTAATGGGTGGTAATGAAAATTTGTGAAGAAAAAGAGGTAATTTGAGGAGGAATACATACCATGGGTATTGGCCTGAAATTTTGTAAACGAATTTATAAAATAATTACCATTACCCCCATTTAATGCCAACTACCAAATGGGCCGGTTCATTTCAGGTTATAAAACACACACAGCATAAGATAGGATTTAGCTTATGAATTATGATCCTCTTTCATCATCTTTCATATCTTCATTCATTGGCAGGTATTGTGTAGATGGTCCTGCCAATATTGACGATGATGAAGTTAGATGGTCGTGTGAGGTTTGTGTTCCTCGAATGCTCGAGGCCTCTCCAGCAGTTAGAAAGAGTGAACATATTGTTTCAAAAGTAGATCAAGAGACACTACATGGATTAGCTCGGAATAAATGTTTGAGTATGTCAAAGGTTGAAGAATCAAACTGTGTGAAGAAAAGAGCTAATAAGGGGGCTGATGACTCATCTACCTTGAATGAGAAGAAAAAGGAATTTGTAAAAAGTAAAGAAGGAAAGTTGAAGAAAAATAAAATTGCTTCAAAGATGGGAGGTTCTGAACCTTCTCCTCTATTAGGGCAGAAGAAAAAGGTGAACTCTGCTGGTGGTGCAAAGAAGGAAAGTTCAGATCCTTATGTGTTTACAGGACAAAATATTAAGGACTTGAACTCTTTATGTGGTGGTGAAGATCTACAAACAGATCAGGAAATGTATTTGGGTTCTCAGCTATCTGAGGAATCAGCCCATGGCGTGGAAAGAACAGATAAAGTTGATGAGATAAGGGTAGGAGATTCTGTCTCAGAGAGCTGCCATAAACATGGGCAATCTTTATCTGGAATTCATTCAAGTATTCTAGATGAACAGCAAGAAATTGGGTGTTCTCAAACCTTTAAACAGTCAGATGGTGCAGAAGACATAACTTCTGACAATATTGGGGAAACAAAAGCTGTTCCTGCTTCTCATCAAATGGATCAAACTCGTAGGAAGAAGAGGAGGTTGGTTATTTCTGTGGAGTATTCTGATTCCGATGAAGAACCTGTTTACGTCAGGGCTGATCATCATCAGATTTTACCTAATGTTAGTGAGGGTTTAACTTATATGCATGGTGAGCCTTCTGCAAAAGGTCTTGATCAACGGCGTCTAATGAAGTCACATGATCACTGTCCTACTCAACCATCTCCTAATATTAAGTCAGATGATTATATGCCGCCTCCTAAATTTTCCATAGATCATGACAAATGTGTCATCCCTCCATTGTCAAATGTAATGCCTGATATACGTGGCCCTGCGCAGCCAATAATGAATGCAGTATGGAGGTATCTAGTGTCTTTATTATTGGATCATCTGTTACTTTCTAGTTTTCAATGATGAGCGCTTCTGTTATTAGTCATCTGTTACTGACCATTACCTTTGTTGTTTTACCAGGGGATTTTTTAGCATCAGTGATGATGTGCATCCTATGTCTTTTAAACTTGAAGCTCATTTATCAAACAAAGCTCATGAAAAGGTTATCGGTGCTGCAAGTGCATTGCCAAATTCTCTTAGCTTTGAAATTTTCCAGAAGGCTGATGCATGGCCTAAGAGTTTTGAGATTGCACCTCCCCATGGTGACATGATTGGTCTCTATTTCTTTCCAGTGGATGAAAGGTAGTCTCCACCCTATTTGATTACTGTATTTTTTTGTACCTCCTTTCCTGTGAGGCTTTGACTAATATCAGTTGATGCAGAGATGAAAAGAGGTATGAGGTTCTACTTGACAAGATGATTGAGGATGAACTTGTGCTGAAATCTCGCATCAACAATTTGGAGCTTTTGGTTTTTTCTTCACAAGAATTACCTCGAGAAGAATGGAGTAAGTTGATACTTTTTTTTTTTTTAAATATTATTATTATATAAAACAATAGAGCTATGAGATTATATATTGGATTCAGCCTTTCTGTGGGTAAAATTATGTAACATTTGATCCTCTGCTTGCTTAGGGAAGGAGCATCTTAGTTTTTAAGGAGCATGGGTGACTCGGGGAGTTGGGGTAGTGTTGATACTGTATTTTAAAATGTACTTAACATTTTCCTACTTTTCTAATTTTTAGGATTCCGTAGTAAATACTATCTATGGAGTGTCTTTAAGCCTAAGCAAGAAACTTTCTTGACAAGTGGGCTGCCTGGTTCCCAAATCAGTGACTCTATGTACCACAAAAAGGATTTGGGCATTGCTGAGAAAGTAGGAGTTCAACGTGTCCTTCAAGCGTAGATGAACTGCTAGGGAGAAATAATCATTGATGAAGACAGACTGCTTGGGATAAAATGCAGTAGTCAGCTGTGACGAAGATACACTGCTTGGGAGATTTTGTAAGCTTCGAGGCCAGTACATTAAATATCTAGAGATGCTTCCTTTTTGAATCAAGAAAATGTACAGTACACATGAAAACAGACAGGGCAAGCCAAAGAAAAAGTGTAAGGATGCGCCTATTAGGATTTAGGAAGTTTTTCACATACACATAGTTCATACAAGTCTGATATGCCTCAGTTTTGAACATAGTTTTTCTTTGAATATGTTTACTATCAGCAATTTTGTAGGCCTGTGATTTATTTTTTGTAGTTCATAATGATTCACTGCTTCCAGCTCGTGTGGTTGCATTGGGTGACATACTTTCATTCACCCAGTTTTTGGTGAAAGAGGATACGAGTGTTTGTACAGCATTGACAAGTCTTAATTACTCCTTTGTTTTTGTTTTGTTTTTATTTATTTTATTTATTTATTTAATTTTTTTTTTTTTTGTTTTTTGGCCAAAGGTGAAGATAAAACATTTTTCAATTTAAATTTGATGACAGTATTCCTTGTTATCTATAGTATTATGGCTCTCTGGAGTCTTGGGACAATAGCATTGAGTCACTGTCTAAGTTTTTTGAAGCTTAGAGAGGCATGATAGATATCGGACACATTGTTGTAGACAAGGAAGATCAACCGATGTCTGTGAAAGCCACTATGCTATGGGTTTGTGGCAATGAAGGTAGTGAATGAGACATAAACTAGTAGCCTTTAGTGGTTTTGCATTTGTGCAGTTTGCTACAATAGAAACATTATTGCATCAGCTGTATCTAGTCATTTTAGTGGAATCTTACAGCATTATTGTTGCATACTCCGTATAAGTAGCATTTTGGTGACGTAGGATGTGCGCAACCATAATATTATATATTCACTCCATTCTTAAATTACTTTTCTATCCGTCCCTAAATTACATTCCTACTTCTCTCTATTACGGAAGGAGTATTTCGTATCATTGAACTTGTTTTTTGTGGTATCTATAGTACAGTAGTACTCCGTTAGTTAGGGGTATTATATCATTTATATGTACAACTGCGTATCTTATAAGCAAATTATACAATTTAATAATTTATGGACTAATATTTTTTGCAAAACACTGTTGCAAAAGCTTATATTAGTGCTCCGTAGTTGTGATGTATTGTAGGACTCCATAGTCCATATGGAGTCGTATAACAAATACGGAGTAATTTTATACTCGATCTTTAGTTAGTTTAGAACTTTTGAATACTACTAGTATGTATCTATAATGTATTTCGTAAGATTTAATTAATTGCAAAAGTTTTAAATTTAGCAAAGATTGACTGCGTAAATCATGTCTTAGAATTACTACAGGTTCTAGCCTCTAGGTAACCCAACGTTAGAAGCATACTAATAGACCTGGCAATCCTGACCCAGACCCGATGACCCGACCCGAATGATCTGATCCATGACCCGAAATCGACCCAAAATCAGTGACCCGAAATTGACCCAAAACCCGAATTAACCCGACCCGACCCATACCCGACCCGAAGTGGAACTGACCCGACCTTGACCCGAAACCCGAAATGACCCAACCCGAAACGACCCGACCCGAGATGACCCGACCCAAAGTTGACCCGAGACCCGAAACGACCCGACCCGAAGTTAACCCGTGACCCGAAGTTGACCCGACCCGAAAAATGACTCGACCTTTAACTTCTTTTAGTATATAATTATATAAGTTATAAAAAGTTTATATTAGGAAATTATACATTAAAATAGACCCAACAACATCTTACATGACTACATTGACTTTCATATAATAGCTAAAAAAGATGGTCAAAGTGAGATGTGTGAATAGTGCAAAATGTCAAATCGTTAAGAGTAATTTGGGACGGATGGGGTATAAGAATAATTCAAAGAAATTATTACAACAATGACAATCATAATAAGAGTACGTATTAAAATTAAGATCAATAAGAGAGTGAGGTATAACTCAATTAGTTAGAGCATCCCTCTTAGTTTCAGGAGATCCTGAAAGTGATTCTCAGTCTAAAATTCTAAACACACACAAAAAAAAAAAGGTTAATAAAAGTCAAACAATTACTATAATCCATGAAAAAATAGCCTTCATAAATATAGTGAGTTTTTCATCAAAAAATAAATAAATATATATACAGAGTTGAATTTAACCCAATGAATCACCCGAATATGACTCGACTAGAAGTTGACCCGAAAATTGGACCCGAAAATTGACCAGACCCGTACTGACCCGACACGAAAATTGACCCAACCCAAACTGACCCGACCCAAACTTGACCCGACCCAAACTCGACCCAAAGTGTTGACCCGATACCCGACCCGACCCGATTATCGGTCGATCCGAAATCAACCCGAAACCCGAAATGACCCGACCCGACCCGAACTTCACCCGATAATCTTTTGACCCGAACTTGACCCGACCCGAAATGACCCAACTCATACCCGATCCGAATGACCCATTTGCCAGGTCTACATACTAATCTCTCTTTATATACTTCGTACATTACTGAAATTTCCATTGAAGAAAATGACACTTTTATTAAATTTATTTATTTATTCTTACAAAAGAGTAAATTTTGCTACTCGTATAATACATTTATACATGATCTCTCAAATTAAATACTCCGTATTATGAATGAAATAGTCATACATTTACGCACAATCTGTAAATTATGAATAAATGAAATAGTGATACATATATACACTTAAAATATATAATCTTGAATCAAATCAAATTAGCAATAATACAAATTAATACAATGTACAAACCCTTCTAATTTCTCCTCCCAATATAAGTTAAATATTCATTAAAAAGAAAAATGGGAAAATTTTGGCCCAACTTATTTTCTCCTTCTTTAACAAAACAAAGCTTGTGGAGTTGTGGATGCCAATTTCCAACTAACTTATACAGTTATACTCCCTATTCCCTAACCAGCAAAGTCTTCTTGAAACCCATTTTATTTTTATCTACCACAACAAAATCCTGTTTATATCATTGTCCTCGATCAGTCGACTACATTTGTACTAATACTACCACAAAGACTTACTTCCAATTTTCCAAGTCTACAACTAATGTACACCATTCAAATTACACCCAATAAAATAATAAACCTACCAAAAAAAAAAAAAAGTTACACTAAAATTTAAAAGTCAAAGTTGTTGAAGAGCTCACCAAAGGAAGAAGGAGAAGGAGAAACAATAGGAGCATTTGACAAAAACAGAGCTGAAGGACTTGGCATGAAGCTCATATTACTCATAAATGGACTCATCAACAATTCATTCATTCCAAACCATGCTTGATTCTCCACTGTATTAATCGGCGAAAACATCGCCGCCGAAATCCCCGGCAAATTCGCCGGCGCCGGCGATAAAATCCCCGGAAATTGACTCATATCCAATGTTTCAACCCCATCATTTCTCTCTCCTCCCATCATCATCATCATCATATCATTATCATTTTCACTACTTCTTCTCTCTCTCCTCTCCCTCTCACTCGGACTACTTCTCTCAATCGCTGCAAATCTCGCCGCCGGAGAAACAGGGACTTCGCCGGGAATAGTGGTTTCCGACGCCGTTGATTCTCGTCCGGTGAGATGTTGGACTATTGACCGGAAATTCGAAGCTTCTACGAAGATGGGTTTTGGGGAAACTGAGTAGATAATTACGGGTTGGTTTCCGGTAATCGGGTCTGGAGCTTGAGAAGTGGGTTTGGGTACAATCGGAGGTTTCTTGATTTTCTGAGAATTGTTGTTGATTTTAAGTGGGCTGGGCCGTGGGCCTTGGATCTGGATCTGATTCTCTCTCCTCGCCCTCTTAGCCGGTGGTTGCGGCGGCGGATTCATCTCGCCGGAAAATCGACTAGAACAGGGGAAGTGAATGAGTGATTTTTTCTTTTTTTTTTAAGGGAGAAATGGAATTTTAAATGGTGGGTTTTTTCGTTAGTATTAATTGGATTTCTGGGTTGAAAGATAAAAATCGGTGATTTTGAAAAAAATGGGGGGGGGGGGGGGAGGGGGGGGTTGGGAGGCAATGTATGAGTAGTGATATTAAATTTGTTTGTTGAGTTATATGGGAAGGTCTGAGGAAAGAGAGAAGTCAATATGTGGAATAGTCCACACACAAGGTTTTTTGTAATATTATATTATTAATTGGATTACGGATTACTTTGTATTTTTATTTATTATTTTTATTTTTGACGGGGATTGTTTGTATATTCATCCGTCCTACTTCGTATAAAAGACTACTCCGTATTTGTTTCATCTAAGTGCCTATTCTGATTAGCTAAACTAAATTTATTAGAGCTTAACTGAATTTATTGGAGCTAAACTTATTAAAGCTGAATTAAACTGAAAATAAGTTGAAGAGAACAGGCCTTAAAGGCATATTCACATTTACTTAATTGAGTTTAAATGAATTGAACACGTTTGTTTAACACACAACTTTTTCGAGTACTGCAAAAAAAAAATTGTGTTTAACTGTATAGGGTCGTTAAAGAGTTTGGCAAAAAAAAAAGGTACCACTATGTAGAATTTCTCAAACTAGAAATATTGTATACGTATAGTAAGATTATAAATAGTGCAAAATAAAAGCAGATGAAGCTAAAGGGTTGGAGTTTTACATAAAGTCAAAAACTATAGTTTGCTCTGACTAGTGGCAACAAGCCAACAATATTTAAAGGGGAAAGAAGAAAATTGGGGCATGGTGATTTGGAAAAGGGTAATAGTGAATGTTGGGGTGTGATGATAATGAGGGGCGTGCGGAATTAGATGCCGCCGATAAGGACATCTCTTTTAATGGTTTGGAAGTTGCTATATACCATTGCCCAATGGGGATCATCAGATGATTGCACCATCATCACTAACTTGTATGGTAAATCATCTGTAAAAATAAAAAAAATAAAAAACAAATAAAAAAAAGGGCAAATCCGTATATAGATGTTTAGTTATGGCAGATTCTTGATTTAGCTACAATTATTAGTGTATCGGTAAGAATATTTGAATACAGGCCTGTTCTTATTGACTAAACTGAGCTGCAATGAACATTTTATGAGAGAATGAATTAGAGCTGAACTGAATTGAATTGAACTGAACTGAACTGAAAATAATCTGATGAGAACAGGGTCTACGTGACAAATTTTCATTACATGCTGGTTAGTTTAGCTAAATGGTTAGTTGTTTTGTTACTAGGACATGTGAACTGAACTCTATGTAGTTCATCATACTAGAATAAGATGATAATTAAATCTAGCTGATAAGAATGTAAGTTTTAATTATTTTGAAATAAATTTGTCATTTAACTAAAACTAGACAATAAGCTAATATACTAACCTTATTTTATAAGGTTGAGTACAAACAACTCATTGAATCAAATCTTTTACAAATTAAAGTAATCAAAATAATGGATTCAATGATTCACTGCTAAAATACTAGGTGTTTTTTTTTATCCTAAATAAATAATAAGTAATGTAGTAAAAAAATACGCCTTAGTATTGAGCAATGAATTTAAAATTAAGCTCAAGTACTCTATACTTCAAAATAGTTTCACCTTACATATGTAATGTTGGAGCTAGTAAAGCTCTTTAAAGTAGCATGGCGAACTTATTACATCGCATGTAATCCTTAACTTTGATTATTAAGCTTATGTCCAAAAAAAAAAAAAAAAAAAAGAGTTGCTCCTTGTCAACATGTTAGATTTATCATTCTGGGTGAATTTGCTTTCCTCATTATTATTTTATTATTATTATTTTTTTACAAATTCCTCATTATTGGCAACTAGCTTTTAGGTAAAAAAAAAAAGCATGAGTTGTAACTTGTAAAATACCAAACTGATTTTTTCGAGTATGGACTATTTCGTGACATCAAATGATCTAAATAAGTGGCTGGTTGGTAATGATACATGCTTTAAGCAAAATAAGTAATTACTTTTACAAGGTTTGAAAATAAGAAATAAATTCAGGTTTGTAGATGTTACTCCAGTCTCCAGAAAAGTAAAAGCTCAAATAAACAAATTTGGTCAATTTAATCAAAGTTTGAGGGTCAAAGACAAGTGGTCAAAATTCAAGAAACTAATACTAATGATTAGATTATTAATCCTAAAATTCAATTTCGTCAAGTTTTATGAAATCAGTTCGTTGAAGAAATTTAATTTATGATTTCAACTACTAATGGTATGATTTGGGATATTTATTCATTTAATTTCACCACGAAATTATTTACTAACACCAACAAGTATCAACTTATCCATTTAAGATCAACTTAAAACTAACTAACAAATAAAGTATTCTATACCATAGGTAAAATTTTATATTTGATCAAATTATGATAATCCACAATTTAAAGTTTCTACTGATGCAATAATGCATTGATCAAGCTAATGAAGGACTACACCACAGTTTAGAAAGTAAAAAACAATAGGGTAATTGATAAAATGAGTCTCAAATTCATCTCATCTTCTTGTGGTATTAATATAACTCGGGGAAAAAAATATTATTCTTTATATACACCTGGCCTATATTCGCAATTAATATACATTATTTAACTATTGTTATAGTTGCTCGTCAAACCATATTATACGTTCCAAATTGTCATTAAAAATGCTAGCTCATATATTGATGACAAGAACATTTATATTGTAAAAATTTAAGAATAATAATGATCACAACTTGATTTAAATAGAGAGTATTAAGTTTGTAAATGCATTAGCATTTTGTACAATATAAGATGGACTTAACATGTACATTATATAAGAACATATATTACGGTCATTTTTATTTATTTACTAGTATATATATATTTTTTTTTTGACAAGAGCAAAGGGACAAGAAAAAACAAACTAACTAAGATCAGACAGGATGATACGACATCTTCTTGCCATGTCGTTTGCCCTTTGAACCTGATCTTTAGGGACTTTCAAAATTGCACACCTAAACGTAGCACCTACTTTCCTGATTTCCTTAATTATTCAGGCTATCGAAATATCCAATATCCTTACCAAGGTTGTCCTGCAGATTGTTAAGGATGGAGATAGAGTCCAAGAGCAGTAGAATTCCCTCCTTCCCCTGTACTTTGGCCCATTTGCTCCACATTTCCCACCTTCCTCCACCGGGTTGCCCTGGCAGTCATCGTGACTGCCCAGCCAATCCCGGCCCTAGAGGTCCTCTTATCCCATGAACCATCTGCTTCCACTATGAAATTGTCATAACCACTCTTTTCCTTTCTTAGTTGCACAAAGTTGAAGCTTGGGGGATTGATTGGGTCATCCCTGATTGCTGTCATTGTGGTATTGCCTTGCATTGGCTGCTACATTACGGTCATTGGCGATAGATGTATTCCACACAAAATGGTCATTGGCTAATACATTATTTATTGTGAGACATAAAAAGTAAAACAAGATCACCAATATTTATCTCATCTTTATAGAAATATATAGCAAGTACATATACTTTGTATTTCGTTAGATGTATGTACACAATAATATGGGATTACTATTTGTTAAGCAAAGGTAATTGGTATAGTAGTAATGTGTTCTGAATATCAAAATAGGTTGGAGGAAATTTTGGAAAGGATAGATATTTGTACAATTGTACACAATAATTTGCTTGATCTATATATTGCCAAATTTACCGCGGAAGGCTTCAATTATTTGCATGCTTACCAATTTACCATGAATCATTACCCGAATCATTAAAATTAGAAAGTTAATTAAAAGGATTTATGAGAAGGGAGCAAAGAGTAAAGCTAATCATAAGAAGTTTAGCTCGGTTGAATTTGAATACACCTTATATACGAAGTATGAGAAATTTTGTATAGAACAACTATACCAATTATGGTGTATTATAGAGTATTATAATACACCATATTTGCTCTATAGTCTATACTAAGAATCAAGACATAGGTGAAATCAATGAATGTGATAAGTTAGGTTTTCTCAATCGTTTTTCAAATTTTCAAACATAGGGAAATTTATGTAATTTGATACCGTTATTAAAATTTATTAATGTATGCTAACTAAAGTTCATAATTGAGTTCGTGTCATAAAACATTTCATAATTGAGTAATAACTTTTAACAATTAATCTCGTGGCTTATCACGTGACCTTTTAATTGGAGTAACTTTGATTATTATGATACTCTTCCTTCATAGGAAAATAATTAAGAACGCGACATAATATATACAAGAGTAATCTGAGTTAGATACGAACTATTATATTGTCTGATTGTTAAAAAACTGTCGTATCTCACATGTTACAGTTACAATCATAAAATACAAATTTGTGCGGATTTATTCATGGATTTCCTCCATGAATACAACGTTATATTCTTAACAATAGTTATGACTTTTGAAACTTTACAAGAAGACAATTTAGCTCAAAACCTGCCTGATTATAGTCTCATTTTAGGTATAAAATGCCACATATCATGTATTTCAACCAACCAATTAATGCTCTCATGAACGTTTCAACTCAACTTGTCTTTCAATTCTCTATCTATCTCACTTGATCTCGTTACGATTTATCCAACTTGTCTACATTCAAAATCATTCTAACCGTTCCACTATCTTTTATCCCGTATAACATAAAAAAGGAAAAAAATCACCATGATAATGACATTAATTATATAGAGCAAGATCCAAAAATCTTCTATTTCACACTTTGCTATCCAAATACAAATACAAATACAAATACCCATGCCAAATACCAAGTACCTTCCCAAGAACCTTTCATACACAAAAGCTCAATTAGTGTGAGTAATTTTCTCATCTTCTTTCACCCCCTTATATAAACCTAACATGTATTCAACGGCTAAAAACTCAATACAATAAAAATAATACTAGTACAAAGAAAATACTTTCAAACTTTACTAGAAAAAGTAAAATAAAAACCCCAAAAAATTAACATAAAAACCTTTTCCTCCCCTTTCTTTTATTCCATCGCCAACAAAAACAAAATTAAACAAAATCATTTTTCAATACAATTTTTTTCTTCATTAATTTCATTTTTTTCTCTAATTTTTTCTCAATTAC